TAGCAACGAAAATGATTTTATGGTTGGGGGTCACCACAACATGAGGAGCTGTATTAAAGGGTCGCGGCATTAGGAAGGTTGAGAACCACTGACCTAGATCATGAGAATCAGTGAAAAATAACAGTATGTGTGAAGTGTCTAGACTAGGATGTATTAGGAAATGAGAATTTCCTTCTCCTCTAGCCCTCCCTCCATTTATTTATTCATTTGTTCATTAAGTAGACAATTACCCAGTGCTGGTTGTGTCGTAGGTACTGTGCTAGGTAAGGTGTGTTTCTCACCACACTCATTCTCTTCAAGTTGCTGAGAAAAATCAAAGTCGGATGTTAGGATCAAGGCTCTTGGAACCAAAGACCCTAAAAGCAGGAGGAAAGCCACAGCTCCCTCGCTGTTGTTTTGCTGACACTTGGGAGGCCTTTTGTTTGTTCGCAGTTTAGAAACTGGTGGACTTAGAGGAAATAGTCCCCTTAGGTCTGCTGTCCTGTATAGCCACCGCTATTCACGGTAGCAGATACTGAACATTCCCATCCTCGTGGACAGTTCTGTTGGGCCACGGTGTTCCAGGTAGTGTAAGAGTTGGATCATGAGTAGATCAATATTTTAGATGAAGAGAGACAAGAGATATATGAAGAGCTCCAGATTATCTGCTATTTTCTGAGATCTGAAGCAAGTCTCAGTTGGAGCCATATAACATGGTATTATTAACAGTTTTCTCTTGGAACTCTCAATCCAGAGTACTTTTAAAATTATGTGGTTGATTGAATATAAAGAATGGCAGATAATCTTTCCATTAAAAGATAAAAATAGCCCTAGCTGGTTTGGCTGTGTGGATAGAGCATCAGCCTGCGGACCAAAGGGTCTTGGGTTCGATTCTGGTCAAGGGCAGGTACCTCAGTTGCAGGCTCCTCCCCAGCCAGGCCGTGTGCAGGACGCAACCAATCGATGTGTTTCCCTCACATCGATATTTCTCTCTGTCTTTCCCTCTCTCTTCCACTCTCTCTAAAAGTCAATGGAAATATATCCTTAGGTGAGGATTAAAAATAAAAAAGCTAAAAATATTATTTCAGGAATTTTTGAAAGAATCTTTCTATTAGCCACATTATCTTTTCTGGTAGATTTTTTTTTTTAAGTTGCAATGTAATATACTATTCATAGTTTATGCAGTACAGTAAATTAGGTCAAGATAATTCTTAACTATATTCTATAGAAAATGCTTTGATAGCCCTAGCTGGTTTGGCTCAGTGAATAGAACCTGCGGATTGAAAGGTCCCAGGTTTGATTCTAGCCACGGGCACATGCCCAGGTTGCAGGCTCGATTCCCAGTAGGGGGTGTGCAGGAGGCAGCCGATCAATGATTCTCTCTCATCATTGATGTTTCTATCCCTCTCCTTCCTCTCTTAAATCAATGAAAATATATAAAAAGATAAAATCACCAAAATTCTTTGATATTAATTCTGTATTCTTTTCATGTAGTTAAAATTCTTTCCTGCCCCTACCCTTTAAGAAGTATAATTCACACATAATAAAATGCACAGGTTTATGTGTATAGTGTGAATTTTAACTAGTGTATACTGGTTTTTTAAAAATATATTTTTACCAGAGGCCCAGTGCACGAATTTGTGCATGGGTGGGGTCCCTCGGCCTGGCCAGCAATCGAGGCCTATGGGGGGGGGGGGGGGGGGCGGGTAGACCGGCAGGGGGCAGGAGCCATGGGAGTTTGGCCAGCTGGCCTCCCCCAATGGGGGCCGATTGAGGGGGCTGGGTGGCCTGGAGGAGAGGACGCAGAAGGTTGGCTGTGAGAGTGCACTGACCACCAGGGAGCAGCTCCTGCATTGAGCGTCTGCCCCCTGGTGTTCAGTGTGCATCATAGCGACCAGACGACCGGTTGTTCCAATAGTTCTGTCCTAACGGTCGCTTAGGCTTTTATATATATAGATTGATTTCAGAGAAAAAGGGAGAGGGAGATTGAGAGAGAAACATCAGTGATGAGAGAGAATCATTGATTGGCTGCTTCCTGCATGCCCCACACTGGGGATGGAGTCCACAATCTGGGCACGTGTCCTGAGTGGAATTGAACCCCGACCTCCTGATTCATACTTCAACTCTCAACCATCCAGTCATGCTGGCCAGGCGAGAAGTGTGTACTCTTGTGAAATACTGTTCCCTCTGGGCCTCTTTCCCTCTTACCTAAATGACACGGTTGATTTCTGCCGGTATAAATTAATTTCCCTGTTCTTAAGCGTTATGTTTTGAGAGTCATGCAGCATGTGCTCTTTTGCGTCCTTTGCTCTGCACAGTGTTTAGTGATGCATCCATTCTGTTTGTACATCAGCACGTCATGGTTTTGTTTTTGTTGAGTAATGTTCCACTGTATGAATATAGTAAACTCGGTTTACCCCTTCTCCTGTTGATGGAAATTTGTGGTCTTTCCAGTTTCTGGCGTTCCAAAGCTGCTACAATTTGAATGTCTTTTTCATGAGCTTATAGGCCATTCATATAAACTCTTTCATAAAGTGTCTTCGAATCTTTTGCCCTGGTTAACATCTAAAATAATTTAATATATACCCTTACGCCACTCTTCTCTACACCATTTTCTTAGAAACCATAGCCAAATTGGCATGACAATTTTTAAAAATCCCCCTGACAGGTTTTTCTATAGAAGAAAGTACTTATTGATAGGACTAGTGGCCTAGAACGGTGGTCAGTCTTAAGCATTTTTCAGGGGGCCTTGAAATACCATTGCAGGTAAGAACAAGCATTGTAAGGATTTGCTTCTGATAAGACAATTATATGTTAAACATACTCATCAAATTAAGGCTTTTATTCACTGAAATCTGAAATGAGACAGATCCTTTACTTACCTTCCCTCCCCTCTGAAATGCTTATTTTGGTAGATACATTAGAGTTCGTCAAAGTGCTTGACTTAGGGTCCTAGGAAAAGATCTGTCTGCGGAAGCTGGCTGCTCAAGTGTCTGACTGCCATGACTAAATGTTATAGGACATGTTGATCCCAGGTCTCTCCGTATTGCACTGATGGAAACGGCCCTGAGCCCATTTGGTCTTGCACAGCTTCTAGGACTTCTTGATAGATAGCAGGTTTCCTGCAGGAAAACTCTAAGTAGGTGGGGCTTAACCAATCTCAGATAAAAAAATTTTTCACACAACAGTCATTTATTAAATATTCTTAGCAAGCAGGCACAGAACATAACCATCTGTCCTATGAGCTTAGTTCCTGCAGTTTTGGGTATTTTGACCATTCCTTTATGAAAGGTTCGGTGGGTCAGCAAGAGTAACTTTCCTCACACCTTCCTAAGTCCTGGCTGGGCTAGTAGCCAAAGCAGCAGGAGACAGAACAGTAGAAAACGTCTGAAATTATTTGGATACACGTGTGGGGGTGCCATAAGACGATGATACCCAAGGAGTCACTGGGCAGTTGAGGTTTAGAAGCCATCCTGGACAAAGGAGGAGGAGGAAAGGGTCTGGGATTTCAAAGGGGAAGCAGACAATTTACCAGTAGAGAGAGCAAGCGGGCCGGAAACAGATACTTGCTGCTGCCCCAGAAACAAGGGGACACAGGGAGGGCAACAAGCAGGCTTTGCAGCTCTCTCGTCCGCCACATTTCATTTCTATACGCCCTTCTTTTAAGCAGGTGCTTCTGTCTGAATTCCTTACGGGGGTAAGGTTCAGAGGTTCTTTCTGAGACTTCTGTTTCCTTTTTTTTTTTTTTTTTAATATATTTTATTGAGTTTTTACAGAGAGGAAAGGAGAGAGATAGAGAGTCAGAAACATCGATGAGAGAGAAACATCGACCAGCTGCCTCCTGCACACTCCCCACTGGGGATATGCTCTCAACCAAGGTACATGCCCTTGACCGGAGTCGAACCTGGGACCTTTCAGTCCGCAGGCCGACGCTCTATCCACTGAGCCAAACCGGTTTCGGCAGACTTCTGTTTCTTAATAATCAGCTTAAAAAATCAATATTCCTAAAGGTATATTTTGGGATGGCAGAGTGTCTGTTGCCTTGAATTGCCATGAATGGAGGTTAAAGCAGCTTCTGTTCCCACCCCGGCAACCTCACCAACACAGCCTTTCCAAGCCCCTTTGGTTTTTACCAGTCTGAAGGAAAACCAGGACCTGGTAGTTTAAATTTGCATTTTGTTATTTTTTAAAGAACATAAAGTTGAAAGAAGATAGGCATCTTCATGAGATGAATTTAAAGTATTTTCCCAGTTTATTTCTTGACTTTGTTGCTACAAGACCTTTTTAAAAGTGGGTATCAATTTAGCAGTCGATTCTGTGGTGTTTAGACTTTATTTTGAAAGGCCTTCTCCAGTTGAACCCCACAAAAAAAGAATTCATGGTTTTGTTGTTTACATTAAAGTCTTTGATTCACCCGGAGTTTTGGAATCAAGTTAGGGAGTTTTACTTTTGAGGCAAACATATATGTGATATGTGATGTATATATTGTATTGGGGTTGTAAATACTGTGTCATTCTTGGGAAAGCGTTGTTGCTGTATTGTCTGTTTTAAGGGAGGTCTTTGCAAAATTTTTCACGGATTATTAAAGTAACACTTTTTATTTATAACTAAACTGGGACTGTACTCATACTGTATCTTAATTATTTTTCACTTGAGACTGTAAGAAACATAGGCTTAGACAATACTTTAAATGGTTGCTTAGCATGGTGTCGGAATTTTTGCTTTTTAACCATTCTAAGGCCTTTAAAGGAATGACTGACCGCAGTAGTGGGCTCACTTTAAAATTTTGACCTATTGTGAAGACACGTTCATGGTAAATAAGGCGCCAGCACTCCCAACCAGCCCGACACTCCGTGGGTCTCCACCTGAGAGAGGACGCAGCCCTGGGTGGCGCAGGTCTGCTGGCCGGGCGCCGGGTGCGGGGCGCGGGGGGGGGGCGGGGGGAGTTAGGCGTCCCCGGGCTGCGCCCTCTGCCGGCAGCGGCCAGGGCGGTGAGGGAGCGCCCCGAGCCGGCGGCAGCGGCCAGGTTCGCCCTCGCCCCTCTCCGCAGGAAGCCCTTCCGCGCTCGGAGCTGCGCGCTCGCCCCGGCGCCGGGGCTGCCCAGAGGCGCCTCCCGCGGGCGCCGCACAGCCTCCTGCGGCGGAGCCGGGGGCCGGGCGCTGGCGGCCGCTGTCGCGGAGGGCGAAGCTCAGCCCGCGCCTGGCGGTGGCGGCCGTGCCCGCTGCGGCCCTTCCAGAAGCTTTGAACTTCCGGGGTGACGCCCCGCTATGCGGTGGAGTCGGTGGCCCTGGGCGGACACCGTTCCCCGGGCTGGGGCCCGGCCCTTTAAACTTTGTTTTTTAAACTCCGGGGGTGTGGTCGCGGCTCCTCCTCCGTCTGCGGCGGGTCGGGTGGTTCCCTGGCCGCCCGGCCCCGCCCGCCCTCCGCCCCGCCTTCCAGATGCTTTGGAGTCATGAGCCGGGCGGGCTCGGGGGCCCGGCTGGTGGCCGAGGTGATCAAAGGTGAGTGCGGAGGGGACGGGGCGCCCCCGGGACGCCGTCTTGAGGTGGCATGAGGCGGGGCCGGATGGGGGAGGCCCATTGCTGGCCAGGAGGTGCCTTCAGCTTTCCCGGCTGGCCCGGCCAGCGCTGTCTCCTGGGCGTGGGTGGCCTTCCCGACTGCCAGCCCCTCGCGCGCTCTTGCTTTGGGGTGACTGTGAACAGACCTGTGCCGTGGGAAGCCCCTGGCTGGCAGGTGACTTGCGTCTCCACCCAAGGGAGCAGAATCTGTGGTCACTGCACGGGGATCAAGGGTCATTTGTGGTTGGCAAAGAGCAAGCCCGTCATCCTTCTGAGTGTTTGTGGTTGCAAGACATTTTAGCTGAGCAGTTTACAAGGAAATAAATACAGCCATTGCGTGAGTTGAATCGCTGACAGTTACCATTTGGGCAAAGGATGCCAGCTGGCGTCCTTTTTTCTTACTATTTTAAAGGCTGGACTTGATTTTGCTACAATTTAAGTGTAAGTATATCTACTAGCACTGCTAGTATTGCTACAACTGGGTATTGCAGGTAACTGCTTTGCCAGGATTTTTAGGCAACTTTTTCTGGGTTAAAGCGGGGGAGGAAGGTTGGAGCCTCAGAACATTATTAGCACCAGTTATCATTCTTTCTAAACCCTCACCTCATGGCTGCCTAACTGCATTTATGCAACACAAGTTCATGGCGCACTCATCATGCAGATACCTCTCATTGCTTCTATTGCAATGGTAATTTGTCTAATTGTAAACGTCACTACAGAAGTAGTAGTGATCCCTAAGAACAGTTGGATAAACATCTGGTTCATTTTGTTGCTGATGTTCTATAGCCTTAAACCTTAATTTTGAAGCAGTTTTGAAAGCGCTCTTTACATAAAATATGGTTTCTTATTGAATGACTCTTTAGGATGTCGTGAAAACAGTGATGCATAGCGAAAGCCACCTGGTTGCTGGCTAGCCATCAAGTGCACACTGCCATTTGTTCAGATTTCTTAGGACAGAGGAAGTAAAGTTTTGCACGAGAGTTTCCTCCAGAAATCAAGCCATACTGCTACGTGAAAAGTCACTTGTCTTTATTGAAACTTATGGTTAAAGGCAGTTGCTCCTTTCAAAAATAGTCTTATTTATTTTCACTCATCAAAATAGAACCTTTCGAAAGTATCTGTTGGCATCCTTACCATCAGAAACCTGTATGGAAAAAATAAAAATCTGACTTCATCGGAACAGAGTTGTATCATGATATATGAAAATTTAAAAAATAACCTGAAGGAAGGAACATTGCAATTTTTCCATTTCAGATCGCCTTTGTTTTGCCATTCTCTGCAGCAGACCAAAGAGTTCATCAAATGTACATTATTTCACCATAGATAATGAACTTGAATATGAGAAGTAAGTATTGGTTTTTAAAAGATTGTTAGTAACTTTTTTTTTTATTTTGAAGAATCTAAAGGTATGTTTATAAATAGGATAACCTTAGAAGATTACAAATCTGTTGACTGATAATTGCAGGATGTTTTTCCTTTAATTTTCCTTTAACCTTTAGTAATAAAGTAGATCCTTAGGGAAAAACTCAAAATGGAAGAATCTTTCTAAATTTAATAACTTATATTTGAAATGCTAATAGTTTACAGTACAATGAAATATAAGCTAATGTATTAAGATGTGTCTTTACCAGTGGAAAAACAGCTTTTTTTTTTTTATTCAGAAAGCATTTTCATATATTATTTGAGGTTATAGGTGTTGAACCATTTTTTTAATAGGCATTATTTACCAGAATATCTCTTCCACTTCTTAAGGCAGTGTGACTGATAACAGTTTGGTGTATGCTTTCTTGTCTGAATTTGATCTTGTAGCTCCAAAAAGGCATTAATATTCAGGGCATCTAGAATATACGTATATGTTTTTGTGTTTTACTTTTAAAGCTTCTACGCAGATTTTGGACCACTCAATCTGGCAATGCTTTACAGATATTGTTGCAAGATAAATAAGAAATTAAAGGTAAAGTCTTTTTTTACATAAGATTTGACTTAATCATTGTTAGCCCGGGCTTGGGGAGGGAAAAGTAAAGAAAGCACATCAGTTTTAAAAAGGAAATGCCGTGTTTTTGCTGCAGTGGTGTTTGGGGCATACTTGTGGTTTTCTTGTTTTATAAAGGCATCGTGCATATGTTAGTTTTCCACAGTTTTGATTGAGCAGTTTGAGTTTGGGTCGTTTGATTCTGGCTTGGATTAGTGATGCTCAAATACTTGAAATCCAAAGTGGAAACTGTTTAATGAAGTAAACCTCTTACTGTCTGACCTAAGGGAACTGAAACCTAACAAGAGAAACGTCCCTTGCTGTGTCGTTGTTCTTCCTGCCTTCGCTTCGGTAGGAGGGAGTGCTAGCGAACAGAGAAGACTCTGCCCCTGGTCTGTCTCTCATCCTGCCTCGACTCTCCCCTGATGTTGTACTCCTTGTGACTTCACCTTGACCTTTTACACGTGCGATCCAGGGGCAGGGAAAGCAAGGGCAGACAGCTGCCTGTGAGGCTGTCACTGAGTGCTGCAACAGTGTATTTCTGTAAGCTTCAGGCTCCATCCATTTATCTTAAAAACCTGGAATGATTGGTCATGCACAATGGGAAGGGTATAAACTGCTAGCAATTCCTAATGAGTCATTTTAAATTCTCAAGTCAAAAATACTGGATTTGGGGACAGGTCCTTTTTAAAAACAACTTTATTCAGTCTACTGAATGATTTACCAGTCTACTACACAGAAGAATTAACATTATTTTCAAGTAAAATGAAATTATGTTAAAAATTTATGGGTAAGGCAGGTGTTTTTTGCTTGAGTGTCAACCCTAAAATTTCACATCATAAATGTTAGAAGCACCTGTCAGCTGAGCTACTAATCTGTAAAGTGGAAGTTGTAGCATTGCCTTTTCTTTTTGTATTATATGTGTGTTCACTGCGAATTTGTATAGAGATGGAGACTCTTCTTTCTGGGCTTTTCCTCTTAAATAGGAATATAAGCATTTATGGTCTTAGGTGTTCACGTCTCCCATCTCCCCTCCCTTTTCCAGTTGTCGGTGGCAGGCTTTTTGTTTCGTGCAGGGCTATGACGCTAACAATAATGTCCTCTCCCCCGACATGTGTTCCTTTGCTTTAATTTTGAAAGAATTTTCCCCCCACACTCGGCCATCTATGGACTTGTATCCTTCGGGTCACTAAGAATGTATTGGTCCCCCCCCCTTAACGTTGTATCATTTACCGGCACAGCTTGTAGGGGGTTGAGCATCCAAACTGGTCAAAGCATTACAGCCTATTCAGTTAGTAGTGATAAATCTGTGTTGAGAGTTTGGGTTAAGAGTCCCCTGTGCTTGTGCCGCTCTATGGCTGGTTGGACTTGTTTCCGTTCTGAAAATCAGCCTGGCTCTCTCACTCCACGTAAGCAACTACAGGAACGTACGCTCACATCCATCCCTAACTCACAGAGGCCTCGCGCGCTCACTGAAGTGCATGCGTCCTGGCCCCACCCTCACCCGAATCCATGCCCACCTATGTTACTGAAGTTCAGGTGCCCAAGTGCTAACTCAGCATGTGTTCCTCTGGGTTTTAACTCGGACACCCTTTTCCTTTTTCACTTTTATTGAAGTGCGGTGTGTGTGCAGAAATGTGTACAGATCGTGAGGGTACAGTTCAGGGAATTTTCACAAACTGCATGTACATGGGCGTCCTCTTGATCATCGGATCAGGGCAGGGCACCAACAGCACCGCTCAGGGGCCCCCCACGCTCTCCGGGCGTCTCTGCGCTCCTCACCCCGCCCGCCCTCCCGCCCCCCATCACTGTACTGATGTCTAACAGAAAGAATTACTTTTGCCCGGTTTTATATACCCTTTTACTTTAATTTAAAGGTCTTGGGAATAGGTTTGTTGTTTTTTCTTAAGTCAAACAGTTGGCCCTGCCCTACCCCTTGCTTCTTATTTATTCTGTCTATACTTTATATCTGTCTATACTTTATATCTGTTCCTGTCTCCTTCCCTCTTCCTTAACTGTGCGTTTCTTCTAACCTAAGAATGCCTTTTATGGGAAGGTACTCGGTACTTTGGGGTATCAAAGTAGGTATTTTTAAAGGTCTTGCTAATATGAATGCTGAGGTTTGGAATTTATCTTCATCACAAAATAAAGTTTTAGAAAACTTGCAATTATGAAACAACACACTAACAGTTGTGTATCTTTATGCAGTCCATTACAATGATAAGGAAGAAAATTGTTCACTTTACTGGCCCTGATCAGAGAAAACAAGCAAATGCTGCTTTCCTTATCGGATGCTACATGGTAAGTGTTTAACTCCTTTCCTCGTGTATTAGTGAAAATGCATACAACAGTGGTACCTCACCTTTGCTGTTGCAAATGCGAAATTATTTTTTCTAAGATGATGTTTTGATTTTTTTTCCAGAGAAATATGTGTTGCTTTTTAAAAATTGACCAGTTGAGGAGGCTGCCCATATGCGGGGACAGGGCATTGGGAAGACCTCTGTCCTTCGTGTTTATTTCGCTGTGAACCTAAAGCCGCTTTTAAAAAGTCTATTAAAAAAAAATTGACCAGCTGTTATGCACTTAAGATTAGAAAATAATGCTCTCAGCCCAGCCGGCATGACAAACTGGTTGAGTGTCAACCTATGAACCAGGAGGTCATGGTCTGATTCCCCAGGTCACGGCACCTGCCCAGGTTGTGGGCTCGATCCCCATGTGGGGCGTGCAGGAGGCAGCCAGTCAATGATTCTTTCTCATCATTGGTGTTTCTGTCTCTCTTTCCCTCTCCCTTTCTCTCTGAAATCAATAAAAATATATTTTTTTAAAAAATTAAAATACACCAAATGAGGTAAGAGTGCTTTATAGGTTGAATATAAGTTTTTCCTAGCTAAGGTGTGGTTCTAAGATTATCTTCATCCTCATCAGAAGGTCTAGCAGGAGAATGCGGTGTGTCAGTGTTGTAGGAAATGGGTAGCATTCTCCCTAGTTTACAAAGGCATTGAGTGGTTGTCTATTGGGCCACTGGACGTGTGTATTGTTAGGTCCGAGAGAGCCCAGGATCGGATACAGGCAGACGTGTGATGAGATAATGGACTCTCCCTGGCATTTCTAACAGATCAGCCTGCCAGACACAGATACTGGCTTCTCCAGGACCCCGACACAGACACTGACTCCTTCCTGAATGCCTGGCCGACCCCTGCAGCGGGAACTTCCTCAGCTGAATCCCTCAGCTCAGGTCCCCGCCCCTCACCCAACCGCAGTATAAAAAAGCGCCCCCTCCCTGTTGGCGCGGATCCACGTGCCCTGTTTTTTGGGGTACGTGGGTGTCCCAGGGATGCAGAATAAACCTTCCCTTTCTTTCTTTTCTGATTCACTCGACTTTTTATTTCTTATGCAGCCTCCTGAGCCACCTAACCTAACATGTATATTTACACAGGAGTTATGAATTTCATTGATTTGTGAATATCATGGAAGATATTTGTGGGCTTATTATTTTGAGTCAGTTTTTCTCCAGCACCTAGATCAGCGGTTCTCAACCTGTGGGTCGCAACCCCTTTGGGGGCCGAACAACCCTTTCACAGAGATCACCTAAGATCATCGGAAAAAACATATATAATTACATATTGTTTTTGTGATTAATCACTACGCTTTAATTATGTTCAATTTGTAACAATGAAAATACATCCTGCATATCAGATATGTACATTACCATTCATAACAGTAGCAAAATTACAGTTATGAAGTAGCAACGAAAATAATTTTATGGCTGGGGGTCACCACAACATGAGGAGCTGTATTAAAGGGCCGCGGCATTAGGAAGGTTGAGAACCACTGGCCTAGATTTTGAGCCTCCCCTGTCCACTCCCTCCCACTCTTCCCCTCCCTTAACCCCCACCCCCCACCCAGGGAACAGGGCCTCATCTTTTAGCGGTAGGGAAGCAGCTCCTCCATTCAGGGGAGAAGCACAGCAAGGGTGCTTCTGCCACCTCCACCCACCAAGGTGTAGTAATTACTCTCCTCGATTTAAAACACAAAGGGATTGTTTTTGTTCCTGAGATCAGTTCTTTCTTCCCTCAGCTTGTTACTTGATTCTGTCATGCTGCCTCCCTTTTAAAATACATATCTTTTCTGATGTATACTTTGATAATGGGGAATTCACATTGATTAGACCAAAAGTTGGTGGTACTAGTTAAAATTTCACCTCAAAATTGAATAATTTCTTTTTCTATGTTGAAACTAATTCACAGCAATGATCAAGGCCTTTTGGGGGTTGTTTTCCTATTTGTGCCCACAAAAGTGGTTGAGAAATAATTCTGAGGTAACTAAGTTCTATTATCATCGCTGCATTTGTGAAACACAGGTTGTAGAACGTGTCTAGCAGAACTTGATTTCTTAAGCTTCCCCAGATGTGCTGCTGTTAGTTTGTTTTCCCACCTTTTCGGCTGTGGTGCTGAGCTGTAAAAACCTCCAGGGGGAAAGAGCCCACGCCAGTCCCAAGAAAAAGAGAGGATGGAGAGGGGGCTGTTGTAACCAGGGCATTTGCTCCCATTACTTGGCGAGTCACTGGGGAGAAACCCCAGGATTCGAGTAAACTGACAGCTTTACAGAAAAGGGGAGACAGCCAGAGTTTGGGGGTTTATAACAGATTACAGGGAACCCTGGCGAAGGGGTCCTGTCTTACGCTGCCCAGGGGGAACCCGCCGCGTGCTCCGGAGCGGAGCTGCAGAGCTCCTCCTGCGCTGTGTTTAGGCTGTTTTTAGGCGGCAGTTTGTCTGGGGTTCGATGGGATGTCCCCAAGGGCGTTCGGGGAATCAGACCTGGTGACCTCAGTGTGAAGAAGCCCTGAGAGGGTAGCTGTGGGCGTGGTGGGAACCAAGGGTTGTCAGAAAGGCAAAATTAAAACACTTGATCATTTTATAAATAAGACATTTATTTCTCTTCTTAAATTTTGTTGTTTTTACTGCTGATTAAAAACAGTTACAACCCCTTGGAATCTTCATTGAACATTTGTTGGCATATTTGTTTGCAGTTTGGAGTTGGCCTTTTGACTTCAGATAAGTTTGTATTTTGATATTGTTAGATATAAACTCAGCCCAGGAACGTTAACTATCTCATTGGCTTTCTCAGCAATGCCTGCGGGGGCAGCATCCCACCTGGTAAATGGAAGGGCCCCAGGCGCTGTGAGCAGGGAGGAGGAGGGTCCGGCAGTGGGTTATTTTGGGCGAGGTCTTTTGAGGCAGATACTTCATTGATGCTGACCTGGACATTCCGGACGGATCGGTTTAGAATTTCATTCCTGGGACGGCCGAAACTGCAGTTGCGTTAGGCATGAAGTCTTAGTGCGGCTTAGCAACTCTGACTCCATTTTGGGCCTGTTGTTTCTTTTTCATATCAGGCAAAGTTAATTTGGGGGGAGGAGTTTATATATTTTTGGATTTCAGATCTTTTCAGGACTTTATGCTCTCAGGTTAGCACTGATTTGATTGGTTAGGAAAGTGCCAGGTAAGCCTTTTGGACACCCACTTACGTTCATTCCTGGCCCAGCTAGAGGCCAGCTTGGCAGGAGGAGTGCAACTCTTGGCTGTAGCAAGGGTCGTTGCAGCCATGAAGGGCTGGCGAACGCGGGAGCATGGAACTGTAATGATGCTAGCGGGGAAACGGGAGGGAAACATTAAGAAAAGGAAATAGTAGCAAAGGAGTGTCGAGATGTAATGTGGATGGATACCTCACAAAATTGACATCAGAGTAAGTACGTGAAGGTTTTGATCTGACTGAATCCACTGACTAGAAATTTGTAGTGGGATGATGAGAATTCTCCTAAAAATTTATCTTCAGCCTTGACAACTTTTTCAGGAGTTGTTGAGGAATTTTGGAGTCAGTAAGGCTTTTTAGTGATTGCCTAGAGGACTGGGGGGGGGGGGATAATGTTAAAATAAACAGACAAAAAAGCTGGAGAAGAACTGTTGAGAAGCCAATTCCAAGTGCCTTACTAGTATTCTGCCTTTCACACTCTGGGCCTCCCAAAGGAATGATGCTCCCTTCATCCTCCTGACTCGAAAGGCCCTAACGGGGTGTGGAGGGGCGTGAGAATGAAGCACCAGCCCTTCTGTTCATTTTATCCTTCAGCACGAGCTTGGGCTTTACATGCAGACACTTAAAATGGGGTTGACATGCCATGCTCGCCGGGGCTTTGGCCAGGCGGCAGGCGCCGTCCGTGCCGTAAGAAGTGAGAGGAGCAGCTGGGCTGCTCATTGGTCTTCCGTGTCTTTCCAGGTATCGCACTTGATGTGGCCTCGTAAATGGATTTATCAACTACCCCAAATAGTAGAATCTTTGGTATCAAATTAGCGTGAAACTAAAAGTCTTTTTAAAAAAAAAAAATATATATATATATATATTTTATTGATTTTTTTACAGAGAAGAAGGGAGAGGGATAGAGAGAAACATCAATGAGAGAGATTGATCAGCTGCCTCCTGCACGCCCCCTACTGGGGATGTGCCCGCAACCAAGGTACATGCCCTTGACCGGAATCGAACCCGGGACCCCTCAGTCCGCAGGCCGACGCTCTATCCACTGAGCCAAACCGGTTCGGCGAAACTAAAAGTCTTTTGAATCACACTGTAAAAGAGCTGAAGAACATAAAGGATAAGTGAAGTTTTCTTTTGCAAAAAGATGAGTGAACCATCCATTTTACAAAATAGTCCGTCTGTGACGAGCCTATTGTGTAAGTCCGTGGCCGGAACCGAGCTAGCTGCTGGGGTGGTGGCGCTTAGCCTGTCTTTGCAGACATGAAGTCTTCAGTGGAAAGGTAAGTTCTTTTCATAACAAATTCATGACTAAGAAAATATCTCACAAATAAAAGTTTGGAACTTTCTCATTTTGTTGTTAAAAAAAAAAAAAGAAATGACGTCATGTACAAAACCCATATGTGTTCGCTTAAGAAATTTGGGACATTTTACTTGAAAAAGAAACACCTCTTTTCTATTTATCAAGTAGGACACGTGCGCATGTATGCGTGTTTACCGTGCTTTGTGTCCACTGGTATAGGTCCATCACCTGCTCTTTTCAGTGAGTGATCTGTTCTTCTGTTTTAGTACATGTTTCGCCATCTTTATACCCAAATTATATCCGTATTTCCCCTGTGAATCCAAAACATTCACGCCAATCCCCGACACAGGTGGACGTGGTGGCCGCACTCCTGAGCTCTCACATGTGGCCCCTTTTGCTAAGGCCGATTTATTGAAGGAACCATCCTTTTATCTTGTAGAATGTCCCACCTTTTGAATTTCTCTGCTTTTTT